GTAAACCCGGGAGGCGGAGCTTGCAGTGAGCCGAGATCGCGCCACTGCACTCCAGCCTGGGCGACAGAGCGAGACTCCGTCTCAAAAAAAAAAAAAAAGAAAAAAACCACAAAAGACTCTTTCACTTTTATGCTCTGGAGCTGTTTCAGGAACCAAGAACAAATGGCCAAATATCTCAACAAAAGATACTCCTACTGCTCTAGTCACTTGGGAAATTGCAAGGGTTACAGAAGCTGTGAGCCAGGAACTGGACAAAAACCAAAATATATACACCATAGTATCACAGGCCACCCCCTGGTTTCAAACAGGGATCCCTTAGAGCAAAAAAGTCCATATATCTGTCAAGGATGTTTACACTTGTTACATTTATATAACACATGTATCTGCAAGAGTACAAACACAAATAAGCTTATCATCTGGAGAAGCTACTGTGGGATAGGGATAGGTTTAAAGAAACAACTAGGCCAGGCGCGGGGGCTCACGTCTGTAATCTCAGCACTTTGGGAGGCTGAGGCGGGCGGATCACCAGAGGTCAGGAGTTTGAGAACAGCCTGGCCAACATGGCGAAACCTCATCTCTACTAAAAATACAAAAATTGGCCAGGCATGATAGCGGGCACCTATAATCCCAGCTACTCGGGAGGCTGAGGCACCAGAATGGCTTGAACCCAGGAGGTGGAGGTTGCAGTGAGCCAGGATCACACCACTGCACTCCAGCCTAGATGACAAGAGACTCCGTCTCAAAAAAAAAAAAAAAAGAAAACCTAATTTGTCCTATGAAGAGGAAAAAAAAAATAGCTCAGCAGTATGAGGAATGTGAGGTATGCAAAATTTATCAGGCCCAGAGAGACGTGAGAATGAGACTTTAGTCACAGGACACACCCCCATGCCCAGGGGAAATTGTTTAAAAACATTTTTTCTTTTTTTTCTTCCTTGTAGTTTCCAGGCTAGCTAGTAAATATCTAAAGTGTTACTGCAAGTTGCACAATGTGACCCTCACCCATTATCTAACATTATATAACATGAGTTCCTGGAATCTGTGATACAAAGAACAATGTATAGCCAATCACTAATCAATGTTATTTCTGTAAACCAAAGAGTATTCCTGCCAAACAACTTTCTATCGGCCCACATCCTGTCCTGGATTTTTGGCCTTTAAAAACCTGTTTGTAACAAAGGCCAAATGGAGCTCAAATCCACTTGGATCTGGGTCTGCTGGGCAGCTGTCCTCATTATGGTGCAAGTAAATTCTTTAAAATTGTATTTTGTGCCTTAGTTTCTTCCTTTAGGTTCACAGAAGCCATTAGAAACATCTTTATCTTCTTCTACCAGCTTTTTCCCCCTTGATCTACTGTTATTTGTACCTTGTGCAGAACTATTTGGGACAGAGATCAGCTGATAGTGAGATACATTTCCTCCTCAGGCCAGTCACTTTCCATAGGTGTTACATCCTGAGGAGGCTTCAACTCAATTTCACAATACATATGATCATCAATCTGTATTATAAGACTTATTTACACAAGGGAGTTTAATCTTGCCAACAGTATTACCATACGGCAGTATGAGCATGGTACAAAAAAAATCAGTTTCGTTACAAATCAGTAAGAATTAGAGATACTTGCTCTGCCTTCCCAACAGAAATCTACCCTTCCCCATTTGTCAGCTTTAAACTGATTACTGCCCCAGGCAATTTCAGATCACATTTCTCAATGTAATCTCTGACTTCTGACTTTTTAAATTTCTCCAAATTGGGCAAAATACAGCAAATACAGGTCTTAGGGGTACTTTGCCCGAGGTTGGTGAGTTTGGTCTAGCATCAAGGTACAATCCAGCACTCTTTCACTTCGATTTTAGTGATTACAAATAACAATAATCAAGGACTTGTATATTTTGTTTGTTTCTTATTGTTTGCACTTCCCCTTATGCACCCAGTGAACCAACTCCCTGGCAGTTGGATCTATCTCCAAATTTCACTGGTAATTTTTAAGTACCTGAGCACAGCACAGTTGTGGCTCCATAGTAGGGGTGACCACTTGACCACCCAGGAGTCAAAAGTTCCTCATTCCCCATCCATTTATCCTTTTTCTTCCTAAACCATGCTTCGATGAGCCACTCTAGCTAGAGCCACTCTAGCAAATCCCAATCCTGACATCTGAGGATACAGAAAAAAACCAACTCAGTTTCTCCTACTATTCTCTCACAACACAGAATGTTTCTGTGATATGTGTGAGGGCTTTCCCCACACACTAAGCAAGCAATAATTTCTGCAGCAGACACTTGGCTAAATGTCCTGTAATTCAATTCAATTCTATCCTGGAGACATCAGATGCCACAGGTTAAGGGCTCAGTCCCACAAGACTGCCCTCCTCCCACTTCGGATGCCAACTGCAAGCCCTAGGTTGTTTTAACTGCTTCTGACCTGGCAGCTCTAGAGGTTCCCACAAGCCCCTCCCTTGGGTTCAATTAATTTCCTAGAGCAGGTAACAGAACTCAAGAAATATTTTATTTACATTTACCAGTTTTAATAAAGGATATTACAAAGGATACAGATGAAGAGACGTATAGTGCAAAACATAGAAAAGCACACAGCTTCAATGCCCTCTCCAGGCATGCCACCTTCCAGCAACCTCAGCTACCCAGCTCACCGACCTCTGTCCTTGTGGGTTTTCACGAGGCTTCATTATATAGGTATGACTGATTAAACCACTAGCCATTGGTGAACAACTTAACTTTCAGCCCCTCTCCCCACCACCCTCTAATCACACCTTGGTCTCTCCACTGACTAGCTCCCACCCCGAAGCTACCTAAAGGTGGCCAGCCACCAGTCAACTCATTAGCATACGAAAAGATACTTAACACTTTGGGGATTCCAAGGATTTTTTAGGAGTTCTATGCCAGGAGAGGGAAGGAAAACCAAATATACACTTCCTAATATCACAAGGAGCATTAAGCAATGCTTCTGGGTACTGCCGAATTGGAGTGGCAGCTAACATTACTGAAGTGGGAAAGGCTAGGTAAGTTTCCAAACTAATTCCCAGGAGTCACTAAATGACACAGGGGTCCCAACCTGCCTTCCCATTTTAACTATGAACTCCTAGTAGGTGAGATAAGCTTCTTCCACTGACATTAAATCTGTTAAAATGTCACAGACATCAATGCAAATAACAGAATAGTGTGCTGTATGAATCCTGAGGTTTTTATTGCTGTAGTGCAATTAGAAATGGAGAAGGGGGCCAGCCGTGGTGGCTCATGCCTGTAATCCCAGCACTTTGGGAGGCTGAGGCGGGTGGATCACTTGAGGTCAGGAGTTTGAGACAAGTCTGGCCAACAAATCCCGCCTTTACTAAAAAATACAAAAAAATTAGCCAGGTGTGGTGACGGGCACCTGTAATCTCAGCTACTGGTGAGGCTGAGGCAGAAGAATTGCTTGAACCCAGGAGGTGGAGCTTGCAGTGAGCCAAGATCGCACTACTGCACACCAGCCTGGGCGACAGAGTGAGACTCCATCAAAAAAAAAAAAAAAAAAAAAAAGACAAAGTGATGATTAAAATACTAGCCAGATGCAGTGGCTCATGCCTGTAATCCCAACAGCCTCCTTTGGGAGGCTGAGACAGGATGACAGCTTGAGCCTAGGATGGGCAACATATGGAAATCCCATCCTTACAAAAAAAACATCAAAAAATTAATTGGGAATAGTAGGAGGCTGAGGTTGAACCCAGAATGTCAAGGCTGCAGGGAGTCATGATTGTGCCACTGCAGTCCAGCCTGGACAAAAGACAGCCTTAAAAAAAAAAGATTAAAGCACTACTATTTCTGACACGGTAAAAACTACCCAGGGACCAAAACACCAGCTATAGTTGGGTTTAGACAGGCCTATGGCTCAAGGTTATTATCAACATTAACTCGGCAGTTTTTGAGATTAAACAAACTCCACCGGCCTGGCCTGGAAATAAAACATCTAACACTGTATTCATCAAAAAAGCAACATTTAAAAATCTAAAGCCAATCTATCTGTAAACTGGGGACTGTGTGAAATCAATTCAAATTTTCAACATAATTCAGTATACCCAAAGACTCATTCCCACAACCAAAACTCCCTTCTAAGTCCACAAAAGTACTCACAGAAATGGAAGCAGTAGGATCCAACTGATATTTAGCTGCAATGCCAAAACGAGTGCAGTTGGTACCTGATGTCCAAGCAAGGTTTACTGAAGTGTCAAGATCTTCACATACTTTCTGATAAATTGATCCTCCAAATTCCGTCCCATCATTCCTATAAGATATTTTAAATTAGTAGATCTAGAATAGACAATGTAATAATGTCTAAGGCACAGGCTGATTTGTAGCATTACATTTAAATAAAAACCACAGCTCAAGTGGGTCTTTAGTGTTCCACTGAAAACTTGCAAGTTTTAACGGGTTTTTTACCCCAACCCATACCCATACAGGGACTGGTAAAATGAACCATAGAATATCCATTCAGTGGAATTATCACACTGTATTAAACATACAAGAGATTCCCATACAGTCTTTCGGTTATGTATTTCATACACACATATATATACACACACATATAAAAAGGTGAACCACCACAACGTTAACAAAGATTATATACCTAGCTGGCATGATTATGAGAAATGTAGGTTTTCTTCTTTGTGCTTGTTATTTACCAATGAATTTTTACAATGGAAAGAAAAACATTTTAAGTACTTTTCATGTATCTATCTAGTTTGGGCTTAGGTAAAAACACCAGGCTGGATGTAGTGGCTCACGCCTATAATCCCAACACTTTAGGTGGAGGCAGGAGGATCGCTTGAGGTCAGGAGTTTGAGACAAGCCTGGGCAACATAGCAAGACCCCATCTCTATAAAAATAATTAAAAACAAACAAAAAAACATCAGCAGCAGCTGGGCACAGTGGCTCACGCCTGTAATCCCAGCAATTTGGGAGGTGGGCAGATCAAGAGGTCAGGAGTTCCAGACCAGCCTCACCAGCATGGTGAAACTCCGTCTCTACCAAAATACAAAAATTAGCCGGGCGTGGTGGCATGCGCCTGTAGTCCCAGCTACTTGGGAGGCTGAGGCAGGAGAACTGTTTGAACCCGGGAGGTGGATGTTGCAGTGAGCTGAGATCACCACAGAGCAACTCTGTCTCAACAACAAAAAAAAAAAAGAAAGAAAAAAAAAACCCAACAACAAAACGCCATACATTTTAGGCAATCCTATCACGTCAGCATCCCACACATCTTTTAAAATGAATATACTGGTAGCAGTCTGCCAATATCTAATGCCTCGTGTAAAACTACAAAGTGCATTAAACCCCATATAAAATGAACATTTACTCTCTCAGCACCAAAGGTCAGATTGACATTCTTTTACTATAAGCTTTCAAGGAGCACCCTAGAAATGACCAAGAATGATTTTGTTTTTAAATGTTAAGAGAAATCCTTTAGGGTGCACCCAGATCAATAAGAGATGACAGACATCAAAATCATCCTCTGAGGGCCTACATCACAGTATCCTATGAAAGAAATACTTACACATTAGTGTGTAGCTGGAAGTCCCCAGTCCTGTAGCCCACTGCAAAGTTATTCCTTGTCAGCTTTGATTTGGCACTGTCAAAGGTCATCTGGTACCCAGCAAGCCAGCCCTCATAACCAAAGACAGCTGAACCATGGATTGCAGGTCCAGCAAAATCAAAGTCAACATCACAACCAAGGTTTATACACTCCCTCTTGTAAGAGGACTTGATTTTACCACTTTTCTTTCTGGAAAAAGAACAAACTGACGTCACTGGGAAAAACGTACACACACTTATGCACAAAAGAGCACAAAACAGACTTAAAGGAACTGCAGTATGACCAGGGAGTAAAAGCCAGCAATACAATAACCGAGTAAAAAAATCATCTCAATGAACTACAAGACAAGGACACGAGGCAACTGGACGGCCATCTACAACTGCTTTGCAGAATTAACAATCATTCACAAAAGCCTGCTAGAAACACATTAATTGCCCAAGTTAGTGCAACAACGAAGAGACAAATATTTGAAGGCAAGCCAATGATAGCAACCATAGTATTCTAAAAGCAGATATAGGCCAGGCATGGTGGCTCCCGCCTGAAATCTCAGCACTGTGGGAGGCTGAGGCGGGTGGATCACCTAAGATCAGGAGTTCAAGACCAGCCTGGCCAGCATGGTGAAACCCCATCTCTACTAAAAATACAAAAAAAAAAATTAGCCAGGCATAGTGGCACATGCCTGTAATCCCAGCTACTCGGAGGGCTGAGGCAAGAGAATCACTTGAACCCAGCAGGCAAGGGTTGCAGTGAGCCAAGATCGCACCATTGCAGTCCAGCCTGGGTGACAGAGAATAAATAAATAGGCTGGGAGCGGTGGCTCACACCTGTAATCCCAGCACTCTGGGAGGCCACAGCAGGCAGATCACAAAGTCAGGAGTTCAAGACCAGCCTGACCAACATGGTGAAACCCTGTCTCTACCAAAAATACAAAAATTAGGCGGGCGTGGTGGCACACCGCCTGTAATCTCAGCTACTCAGGAGGCTGAGGCAGGAGAATCACTTGAACCCAGGAGGCGGAGGCTGCAGTGAGCCAAGATCATGCCACTACACTCCAGCCTGGGTGACAGAGTGAGACTCTGTCTCAAATAAAAATAAAAATTAAAATAAATAAAATAAAACAAAACAAAACAAAATAAAATAAAATAGATGCAATAAAATATGGGAAAAAAAAAATGGCCAGGCACGGTGACTCATGTCTGTAATCCCACCATTTTGGGAGACCAACGCATCACCTGAGGTCATTAGTTCCAGAACAGCCTGGCCAACATGGCGAAACCCTACCTCTACTAAAAATACAAAAATTAGCTGGGCATGGTGGCGTGCGCCTGTAGTCCCTGCTACTCAGGGAGGCTGAGGCAGAAGAATCGCTTGAACCTGGGAGGTGGAGGTTGCAGTGAGCCAAGATGATGCCACCGCATTCCAGTCTGGGTGACACAGAGAAGATTCCATCCCAAATAAATAAATAAAAGCAGATACAGAGATTTCACCACCACAAGGTAGCTTAATAAGCTATCAAACAGTAAAGGTACACCTTTTCTAAATACACAAAAGAGAAATGCTTTTAAATGTAATACAGATAAAAATGTCTGTGCTTACCCTGTGTTTGGTGAGAAGGTAGTATCAAATGTCAGTTTCAAACCTTGACAAATCTATTTTGAAAGAAAAGTAATTTGCTTTCCTTTTTTGAAATACAAAAATAATTAATAAAATTAACACTAAAATTTTCAAAATGTTACCTGGTCTTCAATTGCGATTTCTGTTCCCAGAGTGTTATCAGTGTTCCACTTTTCTGTGAAAGTCAGACCATACTCACACCACTTGTATTTGGTCTCCAAGGTCCCAGTAACTTTACCAGTGTCTGTATTAGATGAACCAGACGTTGAAAATTCCTAACAAGACAATCAATAACTTCATGAACATTCTCATAAGCCTAGAATTCATCACTAACTTACAAACACACACACACACACAACCCGCTGAAACATTTGGTAAACTCATGAATCCTCCTTTTTCTAGCTTCCTGAACACTCGTATCCCTCTGCACTGTGCTACTCTCTGAAGCTTATATAAGAGTGACAAGCCTTTGAGCAACTGACTGCCACTTCACATACGGCTGACACTTCTAATCAATCACAAGTTCATCTGTAGTGAATTCTCAAGTGAACAAACTGTACACCCTTTTTTTTTTTTTTTGAGACCGAGTCCCGCTCTGTCGCCACGCTGGAATGCAGTGGCATGATCTCGGCTTACTGCAACCTCCGCCTTCCAGGTTCAAGTGATTCTCCTGCCTCAGTCTCCCAAGTAGCTGGGATTACAGATGCCCGCCACCACGCCCAGCTGATTTTTGTATTTTTAGTACAGATGGGGTTTCACCATGTTGGCCAGGCTGGTCTCCCAACTCCTGACCTCAGGTGATCCACCACCTTGGCCTCCCAAAGTGCTGGGATTACAAATGTGAACCACCGCACCCGGCCAACTGTACATCTTTTAAGGAAGGTTTTGCTAAGGTGATTTTATTTGGGATTCAAAAGTCAGCGGGAAACTGAGAGTGGCGGCTCACGCCTATGATCCCAGCACTTAGAGACCAGCCTGGGCAACATAGCAAGACGCCATCTCTACAAAAATTAAGAAACCAGCTCAGCGTGGTGGTGTGCGCCTGTAGTCCCAGCTACTCAGGAGGCCAAGGTGGGAAGATTGCTTGAGCCTGGGAGGTCCAAGCTGCAGTGAGCCATAATCCTACCATTGCACTCAGCATGGGTGACACAGTGAGACCCTGTCTAAAAATAATAATGTGCCAATCCCTGGTTGCACACGAACTGAAAAAGAAAAAATATGGAGGGCTTATCTGAATTTTTGTTTGTTTGTTTGAGACAGCATCTTGCCTCTGTCACCCAAGCTGGAGCACAGTGGTGTGATCACAGCTCACTGCAGCCTCAACCTCCCAGGCTCAAGTGATCCACATACCTCAGCCTCCTGAGTAGCTGGGATCACAAGCATCACCACGCCATGCCTAAGGAAGACAGCTGATGTGAAAATAATAAAGAGACTACAGCCAGAAATTGTGATATCTGCAGAGTGAGAAATATCAAAAACTGTATCAACAGGAGGAAAGGGCAGTCATCCTTCTCTCAGAAAACAGAACATTTGTATAACTATTGCTGTGCTGATAGAGACAAATCCTCAGGTCTTATATATACTCTCCTAAATTAGATCCTTTCATTAACAGGAATTTCAAGTCAAAGCATAACCCTCAATACCTACACTAAAAAGCACTGGATTGGCTGGGCACGGTGGGTCACACCTGTAATCCCAGCACTTCAGGAGGCTGAGGCGGGACGATCACTTGAGGTAGGGAGTTTGAGACCAGCCTAGCCAAAATGGTGAAACCCCATCTCTACTAAACATACAAAAATTAGCCAGGCATGGTGGTGCATCCCTGTAATCCCAGCACTCAGGAGTCTGAGGCAGGAGAATCACTTGAACTTGAGAGCCTGAGGTTGCAGTGAGCCAAGATGGTGCCACGGCACACTAACTTGGTGACGGAGTGAGTGAGACTCCATCTCCAATTAAAAAAAAAAAAAGCATTAGATTGGCCAGGCATGGTGGCTCACGCGTGTAATCCTAGCACTTTGGGAGGCCGAGGCGGGCAGATCACGAGGTCAGGAGATCGAGACCATCCTAGCTAACACGGTGAAACCCCATCTCTATTAAAATACAAAAAATTAGCTGCGGGTGGGGGTGGGCACCTGTAGGCAGAAGAATGGTATGAACTCAGGAGGCAGAGCTTGCAGTGAGCTGAGATCGCGCCACTGTACTCCAACCTGGGCGACAGAGCAAGACTCCATCTCAAAAAAAAAAAAAAACCATTGGATCCTGTTAGGAAAGAACACTGGACATAAAAATTGGGAGTTCTGATGTCCAGTTCTTCATGTCATTTACTAAACGCATCACACTGGGCAGGACACATTTTTTGGTTTTTTTTTTTTTTTGGAGACAGGGTCTCACTGTCGCCCAGGTTGGAGTACAGTGCCACAGGCACGGCTCACTGCAGCCTCAAACTCCTGGGCTGAAGTGAAGCGATCCTGCTATCTCAGCCTCCCAAGTAGCTGGGACTTCAGGTGCCCACCAACAAGCACAGCAAATTTTTTAATTTTTTGGTAGAGACAGGGTCTCGCTATGTTGCCCAGGTTAGTCTCAGAACTCCTGGGCTCAAGTGATCCTCCTGCCTTGGCCTCCCAAAGCGCTGGGATTACAGGAATGAGCCACTGTGACCAGCCTCACTTACCTTTTTTGGGTCTGTTTCTGCAACTATAATTACAAAGCTTACCTCCAGATGATTAAATTGAACTGACACTGTGAAAGTTTGTACATTTTCATATGCTCCACAGAAAACGAAAGCATTATTAAAACAATATATATGGAACAGGTTCTTCTAGCAGATAGTTTGAACGGGGAATGTGTGAGTAGCTATTTTTAATCCTGAATGACATTAATGACTCTTGGGGCCCCACCCACTGCCATCCATCAGCCCACAGATCAAGAGCCAGCCTATATACACATGCCACGGAAGTCTCAAGAAACAAAGCCAATACCACCCTGTGGGACCAGAGTTGGGCCAGATTACAGCTCATGCCCTTTACCACCAGACAGTTTGGCTTCTACATTCTGGGGTGGCCTCAGTAGCTTTGCAGTTCAGGTAAGAAAACAGAGCCAGGTATTAATGGGACTTATCCGGGGCCAGAGACAAACTACAGGATCAATACCACGGCTGTTCAATTACATGTATTAAATGTGAGTAAAAACATGCTACACCTAATCCAGCTCCTATACATCCTTCATGCTCTTAAACCTACTTCCATAAAACTTTCCCTAACCCCATACACAATAATCTATTCTTTTCCAACAAAGATTTGGTTTATCAAACAATCTAGTATTTGATATTATCTCAGTATTCTCAGTTTATTTTATCTCTCCAACTAGAAAGTAAGCTTTTTAAACACGAGGACTGAGTCTTTTTTAGAAGGCCCTTTGTGTTTCAACAAATACGGTAGGGGCCTCAATAGACTAACAATAGGAACATTAAAAAACACACTAAATCACTGCGCTGTAGCCTGTTAACTTGGCCAAATAAGTCATTCAATCATAACTAAACACCTAGGCTTCCTTTCAGACCAAAGAAAACAAGTGACAGATATGATCAATGTAAAACCCCAGAAATCCAACAGGCCTAGGCTTTTAAACAACTATAGGCCAAGCACTGTGGCTCACGCCTGTAATCCCAGCACTTTGGGATCACTTGAGGTCAGGAGTTTGAGACCAGACTGGCCAACATGGCAAAACCCTGTTTCTACTAAAAATCCAAGAATTAGCAGGGCATGGTGGCGAGCACCTGTAATCCCAGCTACTTGGGAGGCTCAGGTTGAGGCAGGAGAATCGCTTGAACCTGGGAGGTGGAGGTTGCAGTGAGCTGAGATCATGCCACTGCATTCCAGCCTGGGCGACAGAGCAAGACTGCGTCTCGGGGGTAAAAAAAAAAACAAAAACAAAAACAAAGAAAGAAACCACAATACGATTAATTTAAATAAATATCAGTTGCATGCACTACCTCAAAAATGTCTATACAGGCCGGGCGTGGTGGTTCATGCCTGTAATCCCAGCACTTTGGGAGCCTGAGGCGGGCAGATCACGAGGTCAGGAGATCGAGACCATCCTGGCTAACATGGTGAAACCCCATCTCTACTAAAAACACAAAAAAATTAGACGGGTGTGGTGGTGGCCAGTGCCTGTAGTTCCAGCTACTCAGGAGGCTGAGGCAAGAGAATGGCGTGAACCTGGGAGGTGGAGCTTGCAGTGAGCCGAGATCATGCCACTGCACTCCAGCCTGGGTGACAGTGCGAGACTCGGTCTCAAAAAAAAAAAAAAAGTCTCTCTCTCTCTATATATACACACACACACACACATATCAAAATAACCTATAGTATTCTAATATGCACACACTTATACCCACCCCGAAATAATCTCAAAACAAAAATTTTTAGAGTAAAAAAAATTGCACAAAGTAAAATTTTACTAGCTGGGCATGGTGGCTCACATCTGTAATCCCAGCACTTTGGGAGGTCAATCCAAGGCAGATGGATCACTTGAGCTCAGGAATTCAAGACCAGCCTGGGCAACACGGCAAAACGTCACCTCTAGAAAAACTATAAAAAATACTCAGGCATGATGATAGGGCCTATACTCCCAGATGCTTGGGCGGCTGACGTGGGAAGATTGCTTGAGGCTGCAGTGAGCTGAGATTGTGCCACTGCACTCCAGTCTGGGCAACAGAGTGAGACCCTGTCTCAAAGAAAGTTAAATTTTACTTTATCCCCTTTGTAACAGTTCACTCAACTATCAAGTCACCAAAATACTAGAATATTAACCTCTTTAAAAAATATTCTTGGCCAGGCACAGTGGCTCACGCCTATAATCCCAGCACTTTGGGAGGCTGAGGCGGGCGGATCAAAAGGTTAGGAGTTCAAGACCAGCCTGACCAACATAGTGAAACCCTGTCTCTACTAAAAATACAAAAATTAGCTGGGCATGGTAGCAGGCACCTATAGTCCCAGCTACTCGGGAGGCTGAGGCAAGAGAATGGCATGAACCTGGGAGGTGGTGGTTGCAGTGAGCCAAGTCACATCACTGCACTCCAGCCTGGGCAACAGAGTGAGACTCCACCTCAAAAAAAAAAAAAAAAAGTCTTGGCCGGGCATGGTGACTCACACCTGTAATCCCAGCACTCTCCGGGGCCGAGGTGGGTGGATCACCTGAGGTCTAGAGTTGGAGACCAGCCTGGCCAACATGGTGAAACCCCAGTTCTACTAAAAATATGAAAATCAGTCAGGCAGGGTGGTGGGCACCTGTAATTCCAGCCACTAGAGAGGCTGAGGCAGGAGAAACACCTGAACTCAAGAGGCAGAGGTTGCAGTGAGCCACGATCACACCACTGCACTCCAGTCTAAGTGACAGAGTGAGACTCCATCTCAAAAAAAAAAAAATTCAGATCAGGACTCCCTAAACTCACAAAACACATGTGGAAATCTTCTCCAGGGAGAACTGCGAGAAAATGGACATTATATAAATGATTAGTACACATTATATAAATGATTAAAGAGTTCCTGATAATTTTATGCCCATAACTGACGAGCACTGTTGACAAAGGGTTACAAAAAAGTCTCACGGGTTCCCTGCCTTCAAATGTGTAATCTTACTGAGTAAAGAATACCACCTGACTGGTCTTTCCTAAGTTCCTTGTGCATACATAACACGACAAAAGACCACATGAAAATCATAAATCACGTTCAAGACCAAAATAAATCAGGTTACAAGCAAATCTCTTAAAGTTAACTTCCGCCTCTTCTTTAAGACAAAACAGGTAGACATCTTTCAGTTATGACCATTTTACGAGTTGAAAAATTATAAAGGTTCAATAGAACTTATTCAACAGTAACACTCACCACGCCACTGCAAGACTTTGTTTTCACATCCAGTTTCACCAACCCAAAACCTTCAACAAATAGAGAGCAAAAGAAACAAAATGATTATTTTGTATGAAAGATGCATAGCAATTGTTGACTATACATAAAAAACAAAAAGATTCCACATACTCAGAGGTGGATAAAAATGTGTTAATATACAATATTTAAATGAAACTGTTACAAATTCATCTTTTGTAAACTGGTTTATAAAGGGCAGAATTATTCCTATGATGCTTTGTCTAGTTTTTTGGTAGCTGGTACACAAAAGAACGCTTTCAAACTATTCTTTTTTTTTTTTGAGACAGGGTCTCACTCTGCCGCCCAGGCTGGAGTGCAATGGCACGATCTCGGCTCACTGCAACCTCCGCCTCCCACGTTCCAGCGATTCTCCTGCCTCAGCCTCCCGAGTAGTTGGGACTACAGGTGCGTGCCACCACACCCGGCTAATTTTTTGTATTTTTAGTAGAGATGGGGTTTCACCGTGTTAGCCAGGATGGTGTCGATCTCCTGACCTCATGATCTGCCCACCTCCGCCTCCGAAAGTGCTGGGATTACACACATGAGCAAACACGCCCAGCCCCCAAACTATTCTTAAACTTAAATATTAGATTTAAAAATCATTCAATTTAAATCTCAGAATAGCTAATAACTTATCATGATATGGCTGGGTGCGGTGGCTCATGCCTGGAATCCTAGCACTTCAGGAAGTTAAGGCGGTGGATTACTTGAGATCAGGAGTTCAAAACCAGCCTGGCCAACATGGTGAAACCTCATCTCTACTAAAAATGCAAAAAAAAAAAGCCAGGCATGGTGGTGCGTGCCTGTAATCCCAGTTACCAGAGAGGCTGAGGCAGGAGAATTGCTGGAACCCAGGAGGCAGAGGCTACAGTGAGCCAAGACCACGCCACTGCACTCCAGCCTGGGCAACAGAGTGAGACTCTGTCTCAAAAAAACACACACACACGCAAAAACCAATTTATCATAATACAGCAATGGGGTATTTCCAACAATCTAAATAAAGGGGGGGATGGTATGGAACAAAATCTTTAAGAAAACTCAAATTTACCTGAAAAAGTTCATAACTCTGGAAAGTACTAGGAGTCACCACAAAAGCAAAACAGTAATATATCATAACTCTAGTAAACCAAGACCTAAGCTATAACTGAAAAAAATTAAAGCACAAGTCGCTTTTTCTTAAAGGCTCAAATCCTCTTAACCACAGTTTTAAAAAATTTTGGGAAATTGGGGGAGGGGGATGTAGATTGTAAAAGAACTATTTTCACAGAAGTTTAATGTAAGCATCTTAAGTTTCTAACAGAAGAATTAAAACAAGGCTGGGCACAGTGGTTCATGCCTATAATGTAATCCAACCAGGCTTTGAGAGGCCACTGTGTTTACTGGGTAACACAGTGAGACGCCACCTCTACGAAAAATAAAAAAAATTAGCCAAGTGTGGCAGAGTGTGCCTGTAGTCCCGGCTACTTGGGACTTGGGAGGCTGAGGAAAGATGATCGCTTGAGTCCAGGAGGTCCAGGCTGCAGTGAGGTATGATCGTGCCACTGCATCCAGCCTGGGCAACAGGCTCAAAAAAATAAGTAAGTCTAAATTTAAAGCAGCAAGATATTTACAATTTGCAATGATTAATCTGATTTCACTAAGCAATCCAAACATACATTTTCACTCTTTATCTAACACGTTTTAAAAATAAGGTTCTTACCAAATCCTTTGTTGAAAATATCTCTGGCAGCTTTGCCAAGGTCAGCATATGATGGAGGAATACACATTGCTGGTAGAAAAAAAATTCCAGTATTAATGTCTCTATTCTCCCATCTTCTATCCAAGAATTAGAGTATGACCCACTGCTGATATTAAAATTCAAGCAATCCCATTTGTTGGAATTATGTTTTTTATCTGGTCAGGAGCTACACTAAAACTATAACGACCTATAAAGGAGATACCACCAACGAATTATTTCTAAAATAGATAACCATGGTTATACAAACTTGGGAAATTCGTTCCAAAATAGAAAAAACAGTCTATTACCTACAGCCTCACTTCCTAGGACTGGACAGGTACAAAGAAACAAGTATTTGTGTGCATGGATATGTATCTGCTAAAATTCACTGAGATGAGCTGACTGAACTAAATTAGATAAAATCAAAACCTAAGACTAGGCCCTGTCCCTGATATGTCGTTTAATATCTTCGCTGAGGTGAAAACCAACATCCTGGAGTGGGAAGAGAACTTAATACTCTGGGAATTTAAATATTGAAACTTTGAAAAAATACTGCCATCTGTGTTTCATTCAAATGTCTGTATCAACTAAATATCAAATGGCGCTTCAAACTTACTAATATGACTCTCAAGTCCTTAGCCAATGCTGTGCTGCTTAAGGGCAGGCAATCTGAGCTCCTTACACCAGCTCATTCATTCCACAAAGCACGTCCACGCCCTTAGGAGCACATGTAATGACCTTGTGCTCTCACAAGGACTGCTACTTCCTCTAGAAGAGTGACTGATCCCATCCTCCAAAGCAGAATCCCCAATTAATAACTTTTACTTCTGTACGTCAAAGACACGTACAAAAGCTGAAAGTCCATGCGGCCACAGACCAACTCCCCGGGCCTTGTTCCCCTATTTGAAATCCAGCAGTCCAGCCCCTCCTCGGCAGAGGTGGTCAGACGGTAAGGCGACCACCAAAAGCAGCCGAATTTCCAAGTCCTCGGAAAGACACAGGGAAACAAACTGCGGGTTTCTGGTCGACAGGCTTCGACTCCCCGCCGCCCCATCCGGCAGAGATCCCTGCTCTACTTACGCCGCGCGCAAGTCTGTCCGTAGGTCGCCATGGCGAGGCCGTGGGAAGAGGGGAATCTGCGGGAGGGACAAGAAGTGCGGTCAGCTGGGGTCAAAGGGCCAAAGGGAGGTCCCGGGCAGAGAGGGGCGAGGGGCCGCGGGGCAGCGCGGCCATCTTAGGAAGCCAGGGCCGACCCCAAGTCCGGCGCAGGCCTCCCGCTTGGCCGAAGCGGCCTAGGCCCCTGGGTCGGCGTGAGGCGGGCGCGGCGGTACCTGGTGGTCTCCTGAGGGGGGCCGCAGCCACCGCTCCGCTAGCTGCTGAAGCCGCTCGTCACGCTCACTGTCCGGCTGCAGCTGCAGCGGCTGGAGGGCGAAGTGAAGGAGACACCGTTCCGCCCGCCGCAACCCTGTCCTCTCCCAGCCAGGACCCCGTCGCTGCCCCCGGGGCTGTCCGCCGCGCCTGTGCCCGCAGCGCAGCCCGCTGCCAACTCCAACCTGCTCCGGAGCGGCCACGTGGACCGACAGCGCCACGGTCCTGCAGGTGGGCTGCCTCGGTCCGTCGATGGGGATCGGGAAGGCAGAAGCTGCTGGGCCTTGAATCAGGCAGCTATCCGGGCAGCCTCAGAGGCGAGGGGGCGGGGAACGGCGAAGGCAGCGCGCTGCCGCCCGCCCGGGAGGGGGATGGGGCGGAGGCCCCGCGCGAACGCGTCACGGACGGGGCGGGGCGTCGGCGCGTGGCCGGGGCGATAGGGCGCGGCTGCGCACCACCGGGGTCACGTACATCTCTCCTACTCCCCTTACACGCTGGTGCGGGTCCGCCCCAGAAACAAACCCCTGCATAGGGCGCCTGCGGGGAGTCGGCTGAGCGTTACCCACGTCCACCCTAAGCTAGCGCAGCCTGCGCTTCTGAGGGACAGCTTCTCTTTCCCAACCCAGTGAGAACGAGTGGGACACAGGAGCGCCACCTCCAGCCCCTCGCGCTCTTCTGCCCTCTTTTCCCACCTTGGTGTGACTGCCTTGCTGTGCCGGGCTGTGTGCGTGAGAGGTTTTTCGGGACTGCCTCTCCCTGAACAAATGTGAGCTGGTCCCAGCGTGCCCCACCCATTTCTACTCCGCCTTAGGCTTTCTCTTCCGCGGCTCCTCCCCACTCAGGCATGTCACTGCCTCACACCCGCACGGAGCCGGAGCTTGGCGAGACAAGCCCGCCCCGGGTCCAACTTCCTCTGGATTATGGGCCTGGAGAAAATGTGGTATCATCCTGAGCAGGCGTTAGAATGCTGCACACCCAAGTTCCCCGGGTGTGCAGGAAGGGTGACAGAGCTGTTAGATAAAATGTTAGATAAACTATAGGAAGCCGTTAGTTTGGACTGAGCTCCTGCATTAGGCGCATCAAACCAAACCAAAATGGGGTGGTTCATGCTGAAGCTCCAAACTACCACGCCAAAGCTAGGATATTTGCAAGAAATCAGGAGAGAAACAGATGCTAACCAGATCCCCAAACAGGCTGGGCGCGGTGGCTCACATCTGAAATACCAGCACTTTTGGATGCCAAGGTGGGCGGATCGCCTGAGCTCAGGAGTTCCAGACCAGCTTAGGCACAGTGATACCCTGTCTCTACCAAAAAAAAAAAAAAAAAATGCCGGGCGTGGTGGTAGGCGCCTGTAGTCCCAGCTCCTTGGGAAGCTGAGGAGGGAGGATTGCTTGAGCCTGGGAGGTTGAGGCTGTAGTAAGGTTAGATGGGGCCACTACTGCACTCCAGCCTGCCCACTGGAGCAAGACCCTGTCTCAAACAAAAATCCCCAAACAGGCCAGTTTTAGCTGACGTAAAGAAGTCCCATGTTGTTTAACCTTTACAAGAAAAGTGACTTTCTACCGACTAATCCACGTTTTGTTTCTGCTTTCCTTGGCCCTTTTCTGTCTGTAATATCAACTTCCTCTTCTCATTGGAACATTCATTCCATTTTATAGAATGAAGCGTTGCCCAATTGTAGAATTGGAACTAAAAGCCAATTAAGATGTGTAAACTAAATTTGTTGTAATTTTTTCTTTTAACAGAACCAAAGGAAGAAAAAAAAATGAGCAGTCTAATGATATAGAGCAGTCATCTATCTCAGTAATTTAGCCAGTCTACCTCAGTTTTTGTTTTGTTTTTGGTTTTTTGGGGTTTTTTTTTTTTTTTGGTTTGGTTTTTGTTTTTGAGATGGAGTCTCGCTCTGTCACCCAGGCTGGAGTGCAGTGGTGCTCTCTCGGCTCACTGCAAGCTCTGCCTCCGGGGTTCACGCCATTCTCCTGCCTCAGCCTCTAGAGTGGCTGGGACCACAGGCGACCGCTACCACGCCCAGCTAGTTTTTTGTATTTTTAGTAGAGATGAGGTTTCACTGTGTTAGCCAGTATGGTCTCGATCTCCTGACCTTGTGATCTGCCTGCTGCAGCCTTCCAGGGTGCTGGGATTACAGGCGTGAGCCACCGCACTCGGCCTACCTCAGTTTTTTAATTATAAAATGACAAATGAAACGAAGTGATCTTTAGTAGCTATCAGCCATAGTCTCTGAGCAAAGCCTTTTCCCCCTTGACTTTCTCTAGCTCTGAAAGCGATGTCTGCTCAAATGCTCTCAAGGTTCTACCCTCCTCCTAAACCAGAAAAGGATGGCTAGATGGGCTTCTACAGTTCAAAACCCAGGTTAAAGCTGCAGCCTGGAAGATTTCCCTCCCATGAGCAAGCCCAGCCAGCTGTCTTGCCTGGTCATGACTGGGCTTATGTTGCAAAGGTTAGCAGAATTTACTTCTAAAAGATCAGTCACCAGAAGCCCCCATTCATTCCTTCATTCGAGCTCAGGTCGGTTTGCAATCATTTTGGCTCTTCTGGGAAATGGTCTGGTATGTTTGATGTTATTGTGAGGCTAATAACAAAGACCGGCATTTCCATCCTAACTGCACCACAGCACACTACCTCTCCGAAACACCCAGTCTGATAAATGAGTCACCTCCACTACCTGCAGCAGGGCTTACTCACAATGTGAATTATCTGTAGCAATTTGTAGCCCCCTGAACTTCACTTTCTCTGAGGCTTCACCTTCTGCAAACCCAAGGAATGTACACAATACCTAAGGACCAGGGGAAGAAGATCTGTGGCCAAACGGGAATAATGGCAGTATTTTCCAGAGCTGGATTTAGTAAATAAATCTGAGTGCTTACATCCAAAGTCCTTTAGACCAAAGCTGCATTAGTAGGCAGTTACTACCTACCACAAGCAGCTACTTTGTGTCATCCACGGGGTAAGCAAAGTCCATTGAGACACAGTCCCTACTCTCAAGGCACTTACAGTCAAGTGTGTGTAAAGGTGTCAAGAACAGGGGAAGGTCCAGAATTTTACCCTACTTGCACACTAACAAGTTAGCCTGCCATAGTTTCAGAGGCTCACAGATGCTAGCAGAAGACATGAGACGTGTGGGTCAAGGACAAAAGACTCTCTTACCTGTGACACAGCAGGCAGCATAAGCTTCGTGTTTTGCCTCAATTTCTGCTGTCCTCTGCATCCCTCAGGAGTGATGTAGAGCAGGTTAGGTGGATGCTGTGCACACCATGCACTGGTGTCACAGCCAAGGAACCCTAAGCTTATAAAACCACCTGTCTTAGAAGGAGCTGCTAACAAATCTGCCCAACCTTCATCCTATGAAAGGAAAGTATCTTGGGCCCCTAAGATCATTAAGCTAAAGGGAAAAGTCAAGCTGGAAATTGCTTAGGGCAGACCTGCCTCGCATTCTGTTCAAAGTCATCCTTCCGCTCACTGAGATAAATGCATATCTGATTGCCTTCTTTGGAGAGGCTAATCAGAAACTCAGTGCAACCATTTGTCTCTCACCTACCTGTGACCTGGAAGCCCTCTCCCCACTTTGAGTTGTCCCGCCTTTCCTGGCCACTTTGAGTTGTCCTGCCTTTCTTGACCAAACCAATGTTCATTTTACGTATGTTGATTGATGTCTCATATCTCCCTAAAATGTATAAAACCAAACTGTGCTCTGACCACCTTGGTTACACGTCATCAAGACCTCCTGAGGCTGTGTCAAGGTTAAGTGTCCTCAACCTTGGCAAAATAAACTTTTTTTTTTTTTTTCTTTTTAAGACTGAGTTTCGCTCTTGCCGCCCAGGCTGCAGTGCAATGGTGCGATCTCTGCTCTCTGCAAACTCTGCCTCCTGGGTTCAAGCGATTTTCCAGCCTCAGCCTCCTGAGTAGCTGGGATTACAGGCGCGCCACCACCACGCCCGGCTAATTTTTGTATTTTTAGTAGAGACAGGGTTTTACCATGTTGGCCAGGTTGCTTTCGAACTCCTGACCTCAGGTGATCTGCCCGCTTTGGCCTCTCAAAGTGCTGGGATTACAGGCATGAGCCACCACGCCTGGCAATTTTTTTTTTTTTTTTTGAGACAGAGGAGATAGAGTTTCATTCTTTTGCCCACACCGGAGTGAAGTGGCACAATCTCAACTCACTGCACCCTCCGTCTACCAGGTTCAAGTGATTCTCCTGCGTCAGCCTCCCAAGTAGCTGGGGTTACAGGTGCCTGCCATCATACCCAGCTGATTTCTGTATTTTTAGTAGAGATGGGGTTTCACCATGTTGGCTAGACTGGTCTCGAACTCCTGACCTCAGGTGATCCACCCACATCGGCCTCCCAAAGTTCTAGGATTGTAAGCGTGAGCTACTGTGCCTGACCTGGCAAAATAAACTTTCTGAATTCTCAAATTTCTCAAATTTTCAGGGTTCACAATCCCTGAGGGGGAGATTATTACACTGCTCAGGAAATAAAATCTGTTTTCTGCCCCAGAGAGAGATATTATCTTCCAAGGCTGTTTGCTAAGTAAACATCCTGGAAAGATAGTCTGAGACAAAAGCTGCCATAAGATGGGTAGAAACACCATGGAGAATTGGCCCCAACAAAGGATGGGGAATGGGAAAGACAAGCTCAAGATGTCACAAGTACAGTTTTTTTGTGGGGGAGCAGGGTCTTGCTATATTGCCCAGGCTGGTCTTGAACTCCTGACCTCAAGCAATCCTCCCATTTCAGCCTCCCAAGTAGCTGGATCACAAGTGTGAGCCACCACACTCGGCTTCTGCAAGTACAGTTTTAAGATGTAAATACAGAGAACCGTGGGCACAGTCAGATGGAGGAGCTACTTGCACTGAAGTTTGAAAGCAGGACTTAACAAAATTAGAAAGCCAACAGATGGAGGATGGGAAGGCAAAATTCTAGAAAGAGGATGTGCAAAATCATAGGAGTGCTTGAAGTGGCAAGAATTGTTTGGAAACCACGTATTATTTTTTTGCTTTTGATTTGCTTTTGTTTTTGTTTTTGTCTGAGACAGAGTCCCGCTCTGTCACCCAGACTGGAGTGCAGTAGCACAATCTTGGCTCACTGCAATCTCTGCCTCCCGAGTTCAAGCAATTCTCCTGCCTCAGCTTCCTGAGTAGCTGGGATTACAAGCACGTGTCACCACACCCGGCTAATTTTTGTATTTTTAGTAGAGATGGGGTTTCGCCTGTTGGCCAGGCTGGTCTCAAACTCCTGAGCTCGGGTGATCTGCCCGCCTTGGCCTCCCAAAGTGCTGGAATTACAGGTGTGAGCCACTGCACCCGGCTAGTTTTCTTTTTGTTTGTTTGTTTTTGAGACAGGGTCCCCCTGCATTGCCCAGGCTGTTCTCAAACTCCCAAGCAATTCTCCTGCCTCAGTCTCATGAGTAGCTGGGACTACAGGTGCGTACCACAGGGCCTGGGGGAAACCACAAGTCATTAAGTAAAGCTGGAACAAGCTATCGAAAAAGTTGAGAAATTAGACTAAAGATGTTGGTTGGAGCCAAATACTGAAGGTCCTGAAAGCAGCAAGTGAGGACAAGTCTAGGGTAGCTGGGAGCAACATTTCTGATTTGAGCAATGGAGAGGACAAAGGTTCCAGCCACTGTGGGAAGGTCTGCAGGAAGAGGGGCAGGTGTGAGCGTGAAGACCATGATTCCATTTTGGATGAATATGAGAAGCCAGGTCCACATTGCAATGCAGTTGTCCAGTAGGCAGTTATG